CTGTCCCCGGTTTTTATCATCCGCCCTCGCTCCTGGTTTGCACCTTCAGCTCCGCTCCCTCGCCCGCCGAATGCCACGGGGGTTTCGGGGGGGCTTCGGCTCCGAGAGAAGGGGGGTGTGTTTGTGTGTGTGTTTTTGTGTGTAATTTACGGGTGCGTCGCCTGGCATTTTGACTCCAACCCCCCCCTTTTCCCAGGTATTTCACGGAACCGGCTTTGAAAAAAAAAAAAATATATGTCATAACTGCTCCAGGTGAAACTTTTGCCTGCGAACTTCGATTTTGTTCCAAATCAGATGTAACGGCGCTGCGGGTCCTCCCCCCCTCCTTTTTCCCCCCTCACACCCCCCCCTCCAGGGGTGAGGGTGGGCACTGGGGGGTTGGCACCCCTCCGGGGACCGGGGGAAGGGAAAAGGCGTTTGGCGAATTGTTGTGCACAAGTATTTTTTAAGCAGTAAAGAAGATTAAAATGGTTGAGATAACGCGGCGTGGCCGGGAGCGGCCGCACACACGGAGTGACCCCTTCTCCCCTGCCCGAGGATTTTCGCATAAATTGCTTATTGTTTCTGCGCAACGTTGCGGGGAGATTAGAGCGAGAATTAATATTTTTCAACTACGCAAGATCCCCGTGGCAAACGGCGGGGCTGCTCTCCGGTAGGGTCAGCCAGCCCCGGAGAGATTAGGCGGTAAGAATGTCACACGCTTCCCTAGAGATTTTTTTTTTTTTTTCCTTTCCTAATCTGCCATTAATAAGCGGAGGAAGCGCGCACACAACCGCCACCTTGTAATTAGGCTCTGCCTTAAATCCACGCAATCAAAGAGCAGTTTGCCTTTCATCCCCGCCGGTGCCAAGGAATTTCAACACCTCTCGGACGCGGTTTAAAAGCCCCCGGTTCCCTGCGTGATGCTGGCGCAAGGGGGCAGTTAAGGACAGGCGGGAGCGCGGGGTCAGCGGCGGGAGCGGGACCGGGAGCCCCCGCGGGGGCGGGCGGGTTGTGCCCCCACCGAGTCGCCCTCACCCCTTTCCCCGAGCCGGAGAAAGTTTGTTTGCTTTCCCAGCCCCGGGCTCTGTCGCCTTCCCTCGGCGGCTGGGCGGCCGGGGCGAGGCGGCGAGAAAAGGGAGGGGGTAGAAAAAAAGGTAAAAATTAAAAAAAAATAAAAACAGTTAAAAATGAAAATATCAAAGCCTGGCCGCAGCTTGCCAGAGGTTACGAGGCGGAGGAAGCCCGGGATGGAGAGTAACCGAGCCGGGTTCACCCCCCGGCCTCGCCCGGTGCCCGCAGCCGAGCTGGAGGTGCCGGCACCTCCCGAAGGAGCGGTGCGGGAACGGGGGTCAATCCCCCCGGTTTGGGCAGGTAAAGGAGGATTTAGGCTCTGTCCGGGGAGGTGTATCATCACCCCACAGACCCCAGTGGCTCCTTTCCGTTTGCACACTCATTGGTTCGAAACAATTTTTTACCGAAAACCTTTGAGGAGCTCCAGAACAAGCACCGCTGAGAAAGACACAAATCTCTGCATTCTGTACGGAAATAAAAAAAAATAATAAAAAAAAGTGAAGTCTCCCTTACTGATCCTCTTGGCAATGAAATCCATGGGGGGAGGACTAAGGTTAATATCACTGCAAAACCTGTGCGTGCACGTTACCGCCCTGCAGCTCACTTTCCTGATACTTAAGCTACGATGAAATCGGTCTTTGCATCAATATGCGTTTATCAGACTTTTTTTCCCCCCTCCCCTCTTATTTCTAGAAGAAAACACTGGCTCCTCTGGCCATGCAAAAATACCGTGTAAATCGCCATTTAAGATTTTTCAAAAAACATGTTCAGCTATAAGAATTCCTTCGAATTCGTTACACTCCGCCATGGCAAGGCGACGCCTTGCTGGTCCGGCGTAAGGTAAAAAAATGCATGTCCGAAAATGAAAAGTCGTAAAAAGAAAAGCAACATTTACATTTGAATATCTAACTTGAGCAGTATTATAATTACAATCCTAAAAGATCGTGAGCTGTCGTCTTTAAAACGCCAGCCCGTGAAGAGACAGTTTTCGGGGGATGTAAACACAGCAGCTTTAATCACGACGGTCTCTTGGAATGAAGGGAAATTAAGGAGTTATAGCAATTTTTTTT